GTCCCACCCACCCCCATCATCCATCCGAAGAGTCTCGGAGCCTTAGAAAACGGTCCACAAAAGGACTGGGGAAGAAGAGAAGGCCGCGTACACGGGCGGCATTCTTCTGAAAAAGTGTTACGAGAAGTCGAAAAGTCGTCCTCTTTTCGAAATGGGGGGGTCAACCACCCCACGTCGGGCATTACACGTGTATCCCCGTTCCGCGCTCCCATCGTCCGATTACGTAGTCGACGTCGCGACGCAAGCCAACGCCCAGGAAAACCACACTGGACGATTGTACAAGCCCCTACAATGCGAGAGAAACAAACGTAGTCGACCAGCGGCGTCGCGACGGTCGTCGTCCGAACGGCGGCCCCTCGATTCCGCTGGTCGATCGTTCGTACATCCACAACGCTCAAGGTCACAGCAGTAGTGGTGGTGGTGGTATTCTGAGCAATAGCTGCGCGCGGGGCTGAGTCCGACTTAGTAACTCGAAGGGTGCGTTCCGCACGCCCGTCTTTCGAAACCTCCCAACGACGTCGACGTCCTCGTTTTTTTCCTTTTTTTTAACCCGTTCTTTTTATTTTCGCCGTTCGTCGAGTTTTTTTTTCGATTTTTCTTTTTTTATTTTTCGTTATTTATCGGTGACCGAAAGTGTTACGAAGGGGGTTGGGATTTAAAATTTAAAACAGAGCATTGTGTCGATTATGTGCCACGGAGAGGATCTCGTGTTCGTATAGTGGTGCGCCTCCATCGGTAATGTGACTGCGCCTGCTTCGTTCAATTTCCCACAAGGACGTCGTATTGCGTAAGTGTGTTTCAGAATAGGACCGTTTTTCGCTCATACATATTATTATTATTAATTTATCCCCGTCATTATTTTGACGCGTTTAATCAAAACCGAGTTACATTCAAGAATGGGGGACTTGATGACGGTTTTAGTTAAAGCCTTATTTATAGTCCGATTTTTATCATCTACTTACTTTTGATCAAATTGAATTTCAAATTCCCCACTACAACTTTGACGTAGCCAAGAGAACGATATAAGTAAAGACGCTCGCGGATTCGTACGCGTGGCGCACCCTACTTTACTTTAACGTTATTAATTCTTAAACCACATTTTGGTATTTAACCATTTTTAAATGAGTAATCGTTTAAAAAGCTATTTTTGTTTAGAAACCACAAAGAAATTTCGATATCCTCGTTATCTATGATTTTTTTCAAAATATTTAAAACATTTTTTTATTGTGATTACAAAATTATTTAAATTCCAAAATACAATTTATTTCTTGTATGTTATTATAACAAAAATGAAGGAAATGAATCATTTCAGTATAATCAACCTGTTGATTGTCGTTAAATATCCATTTAGTTACAAGAATAACCTCATAATAAAAGCCTAAATAGCTAATAATAATTAGAAATCAATAATTAAATATTTAATTTTCTTTTAATCTTTTCTTTCTAACTTAATTTAAGGCATGAAATGGTTTAACTAAAACTAGCACTGTAACTAGCACTATCACTAGAACTAACACTACACCTAGAACTAGAAACTTTCGGGTTAAGCCGTGTGTTTTTGAACCTTCTTCAGAAACGACTTAACTTCGAAGTTCTGAGTTCACTTCAAACTTATTTCTGAAGAAGGTTGCAACATGACATCCGAAACGTTAAACATTTTTTCAAAAAACATCTTAACCCGAAAGTTTTGAGTTGTAAGTATAGTGTTAGTTCTAGTGATAGTGCTAATTCTAGTTTTAGTTTAATTAACACCGGCCGTGAAAGCCTTGGTAGTTATATAAAATGGTTTATTTCAAAAATTAAATTTAAACTATACATCTAAAAATAGTTTTTATTAATAAATTATTTTGATACACACATTCTGAAATGGCTATTTTTAATACAATTTAGAATTGGTTCTATAAAAATACTTTTTCATGCCGATTAGCAATTTAGATCAATATCTTGGAACCCACATCAATTTGAAATTTGAACTGAATCTTGCCCCAAAGTTGCGCACTTAAAAGGAAATAACAAGGATAAGACAATAAATACAAATCTTGTAAAAGCACCATCCTTCTGGTTTTGATAATTTTATTTTAATTGTAGATCGTCAAAAATGTACTCAAATTCTAATTGCTTCCGTCAATCTTCTGTTTACTTCAATGTATCTGTCAAACATGTTTGGTTGTAGAAATATTCCATTTTATTTTAAGTTCAAATGAGCCAGACGTTATGTATAATGTCAAATAACTGATTTCTGCAAAAATATCGAAATTGATTTCCATTCAGATTACCTTCAAAGAAGAAAAGCACTCTAAACCGATAGCGGCATCGCCATAATTTGTCAAAAGATTCCAAAACAATTCCATTTGATAAAATCGAGTCCTCTCAACTCGAGTTGAGGCGTCATAATATGATAACCAGTTTTAGGTTGATGTATTAATAATTGAGACTCCAGCAACCTCAGCTTAATTTGTCAAAAGATCCATAATTTCACTACAACAGTACAATTAACTAGTTTCAGGTTGATGTATTAATCACTAAGTATTGGCCGCAAGCTAACTCCTTGTCAGAAAATCCACAACTTAATGTCATAAAGCCAACAACGCTCGCAGCCGAGGCGCTACAATATGATTCAGGTTGATATCATATTAATCACTGAGCCTTAGCCACAAGCGACCTCGGCTTAATTTGTCAAAGATCAACAATTCCACTTGTAAAAGTCGAGGCGCCACAGCATGATAACTAGTTTCAGGTTGATGTATCAATCATTGAGCCTCAGCTGCCAGCGAGAGGTTGCTTAATTAAGCAGAGGTGCTTAATTTGTCAAAAGATCAACAATTTCACCCACAACAGTACAATTAACTATTTTCGGGTTGATGTATTAATCACTGAGCCTTGGTCGCAAGCGACTTCGGCTTAATTTGTCAAAAAATCCTCAACTTAATGTCATAAACCGAAGAACGCTCGCGGCTGAGGCGCCACAATGTGATGACTAGTTTCAGGTTGATATCATATTAATCACGGAGCCTCAGCCGCAAGCGACCTCGGCTTAATTTGTCAAAGATCAACAATTCCACTTGTAAAAGCCGAGGCGCCACAGTATGATAACTAGTTTCAGGTTGATGTATCAATCATTGAGCCTCAGCTGCCAGCGAGAGGTCGCTTAATTAAGCAGAGGTGCTTAATTTGTCAAAAGATCCACAATTTCACTTACAACAGTACAATTAACTAGTTTCAGGTTGATGTATTAATCACTGCGCCTAAACAACAAGCGACCTCGACTTAATTTGTCAAAAATCCACAATTTAATGTCATAAACCCAACGACGCTCGCGGCCGAGGCGCCACAATGTGATGACTAGTTTCAGGTTGGTATCATATTAATCACTGATCCTTAGCCACAAGCGATCTTGGCTTAATTTGTCAAAGATCAACAATTCCAGTTCTAAAAGCCGAGACGCCACAGTATGATAACTAGTTTCAGGTTGATGTATCAATCATTGAGCCTCAGCTGCCAGCGAGAGGTCGCTTAATTAAGCAGAGGTGTTTAATTTGTCAAAAGATCCACAATTTCATCTACAACAGTACAATTAACTATTTTCGGGTTGATGTATTAATCACTGAGCCTTGGTCGCAAGCAACTTCGGCTTAATTTGTCAAAAAATCCTCAACTTAATGTCATAAACCGAACAACGCTCGCGGCTGAGGCGCCACAATATGATGACTAGTTTCAGGTTGATATCATATTAATCACGGAGCCTCAGCCGCAAGCGACCTCGGCTTAATTTGTCAAAGATCAACAATTCCACTTGTAAAAGCCGAGGCGCCACAGTATGATAACTAGTTTCAGGTTGATGTATCAATCATTGAGCCTCAGCTGCCAGCGAGAGGTCGCTTAATTAAGCAGAGGTGCTTAATTTGTCAAAAGATCCACAATTTCACTACAACAGTACAATTAACTATTTTCGGGTTGATGTATTAATCACTGAGCCTTGGTCGCAAGCAACTTCGGCTTAATTTGTCAAAAAATCCTCAACTTAATGTCATAAACCCAACAACGCTCGCGGCTGAGGCGCCACAATATGATGACTAGTTTCAGGTTGATATCATATTAAGCACGGAGCCTCAGCTACAAGTAACCTAGGCTTAATTTGTTAAAGATCAAGAATTCCACTTGTAAAAGCCGAGGCGCCATAGTATGATAACTACATAATTTCATCTAATCATTGAACCTCGGCCGCCAGCTTAATTTGTCAAAAGGTCCACAATTTTTCTTCATAAAGCCGAAGCCTCTCACAATATAATTATTTAAAGTTGATATAATCAGCCTTAAAATCAGTTAATTATATTAACAAGGTTGATATTATATGATATTAATCACTGAGCCTCAGCCGCAAGCGACCTCTTCTTAATTTTTCAAAAGATCTACAATTTTAGTTGATATCATGAGATCAATGAAAAGTTTAACAACTTAATTTTTATTTGGGACTTGATTTACCAGAAAGTTTTTTCTTCTGAGAAAACTTTATGATTTTTCAATTTAATGTCAATGCATAAATGGCTAATAATAACTTTAATTTTGTTTTTAAAAATTTACTAATGTTTTGCTAAAAAATCCGCCATTTTTTGAAGGGGCGTAACTGTTAAAAGAGAATCGGAACAATTTGTAACATATTTCTTGGACACCTGTAAATAAAATTTTCTATACAAAATGCGTAATGTGTTTTGCGCATGTCGTTTTGTTTTGATTTTGGTTTGAAATTGCGAATCAAAGTAGGTCTGGGCCGAGTATACGGGCGACTGTTAGATCCTCGATAGAGAGCGAGCGGCGCGAAAATTTGTTCGAAATGTTCGCGGTTTTGGTCTCGCCCCGACAACCCCCGAGATTAGCCGATCGCGGCAGCCGAGACGGCAGACTGCTGACATGGCGTCTTAAAAAGTGTTGTGCCCGTAAAGTCGTCCTGTTTCGGGATAGAACCCTGTCCGTTTTTAGTGACATCGTGTAACAGGTAACGCACGCGACAATTCACTAATCGCACGACAACGTCACCGTTTCATTTTCCACACCCTTCACCTCTCGGTGTCCTCGGTAAAAACCGATTTTGATTCTGTTCCCCCCAGTGTTAAATCGGCGGAGTGTGTGTGTCTATGAGTGTGTGTGTGTATCTCGGGTTCCCCTTTTTTTAACCCTACCTACACTCTACTGCTACGACTCGCCAAAATCAATATATTTCCAACGATCAATACCGAGAATACCCTCATGGTACCCGCAGGATTCTACTAATTACACGTTTTTTTTATTTTAACTTTTTAACTTGTTGGTTTTAACCCATTTGTGTTTAACGTTGGTGATTATCGTAATTATAAATAGTATTTTGTGCGCTATGTTCGTGTGTTGCGGGGCAAAAAGGGTTGCGTAAACTGGGCTTTTCCACGGCGCGCCGTCGTCGAGTAGGCGGGGTGATGAGGTTTTTTTTCGCACACTCTGCTAAATATGGCGTCAGAGGGCTGTTGTGATGGTTTCGGTTTAGCGAGGGTTGCGATTTTTTCTTTTGTATCTTCGAGATCGCGTTGCCTCCGTGTGGAGGAGAACAACACGTGCGTGTATTGTGCGATAATTCCGCCTGTTTGTCCTTCGCACGACAACGACGACGGTATGTTTAAAAACCTCCACGCCACACACACATACACACTATATACTCGTCAGTCCTCTTGTGATGTAATATTTAAGAAGTCGTGCTCACACAGGGACACCTGTGTGAATCATACGGATGTACAACGCTCTGGTGCCCGTTAAATTGCCCTACTCTTCTCACTTGACGCCGTGTTTATTTTTAAATTTCATCTTTATATTCTTTTTTTTGGTTTTATCGTGGCAAAATTTCATTAAATTAAAAATAGTGTTTGTGTCAAATTTGACTTTATCCGAAATGTCAAAATATATATAAAAAAATGAATACCTATAAACAATCGAGTTTTGTCTTAATTGTTTTTGTTTTGTTTTTTGTTTGTAGTATTAAAATCTATTCAAATCAGTTGTATAAATGAGTTAAGTAATCTTAAGACTGTATAATACGTCAATGGCATTTGCAAATTAATCCGTGTACATACTTGTTTGTGTTATGCAATTTTTTTCTTGGACTTATTTATAGTGTTACTCGATCGATAAACATAACAATAACGCCTTTAATGATTAAACATTAATTTCTTTTGATAATTACCGGGCGCGAAATGGGTCAATTAAATTTAAATCAATTTTCTACTACAATCTACCAATTCAATTACTGCCAAATTATTAATTAATTATAACAATTAGTAAAAGATCAGTAAAACCAAATATATTGAGCAAATTTTGCAACCATGATACTCGTATTGCGATATTATAGTATTGTAATCGTGCAAAAATTCTATCTTAAGATTTTGATGGATCTCTGAATTTTGTGGGCTTCTAATTTCATCTCGACTATTTTTAGTATTTGTTTGTGTGTATATATGATGTGTGGAAACGCAATAACTGAAAAACGTAATTAGTTCCATTCATGACATCTTGATGAAACTTGCAGTTTAAATTAATATGCGATAAATATAAATAAATTAATTAAATCCCATTTCTTACCTATACAGATTTTTATTTATTAGTTTTATACTAACTGTCCCATGTCTCACCACAATCTCACCTTTTTTCAATAGCATTCATTCTTCCGTTACATCTGAAACAAAAGGAACATAGATCAAACCGTATTTCTTGCCTGTTGCTTCATTTTCTTCATTTTTAGTACATTCTTTATAAGTTCTACTTCCTTACACTTTTCTAGTTTTCGCAGCACATAATTTTCTGATACTCTAAGGGTGTGTATTATGCATATTTTTAGTTCAGTTAAGTTTTTTTTCATTTAAATTCCGTATAGATGACGAAAGAGTAGTTAAGTATCGGGGTCATAACTTTAGTTTCCAGGGATTGTTTTCTAAAGCCACTTCTTTGAAGAGCTCCATATAAAAGTTGGCGAAGACTGGTGATAACAACGGAGGTTTCACAATTAATTGTATTGCATTTTTAGGATGCGATGTCTAAAAAGCGTTTGTTACTTTCAATTACAGCAAATGATTCGAAAAAGCTAATTAATTAAATATACTCAGATGGTTTGATTGGAGGTTTGGTAATATTAGCCTCAAGTGCAGATGGAATTTAGAAACTCAAGTAATGATTCGGTGGGGCTTAGTTTGAAGTTTGTTGGAGTATAGAGTAGGATGTTAGAGGTAGAACGTTTAGCTGTTGATGCAATTGTGTTGAGTATTAGGATTTTGACCATTATTGATTGAAATGGAGTTATTATTGCGTCAAGGATTGGATGTCAGAAATATTACCTGAATAAAATTATACCTCAAATATATTTGTTGATAATATCCATCTACTCGTCACTAGATAGTGGTAGCTCAGAACTATAATTGTTTTAATTAGTTAATTTTCTTAATAATTAAAGTTATCAGGAATACAATGGTGTTAAAATAAAACTAATTAAACATTCTGATTGCTCGTTTTACTATGGCTGAAATCAATGGCTAACTTCACGCGTCTCACACACGATTTAGTAATAATCAAGGACGAAAATAATTTAAAATTAAATTTGTTAATTGAAATATTTTCGAATTTGATTTTTAAATTCAATTTCTACTGAGAAAAAATAAAAGTTTAATGGTTCGATAACAAAAGGTGATTAGAATTTTTTTTAAATATCAACTGGAAATACAATTGTTATGAATTTAGCTACTAATAGGTATATTATACTCCATGATTAACGATCGTTTGTTCCCAGAGCCCCCGGAGTAGGCAAATAATCCCATACAATTAAATGACACACAGTGTTCAAAAAATAAACATTAATGATCAAAAATTTTTTCCTATTAATTTACTTAATCAATCGTGGTTAATGCAGTATCTTCATTAGTATTATCGCTAACTAATAAACTAGCTGAACAATGGATTATAATTCAACGTGTTAAACGACTTGTCTATACCCATTATTTACGGAGCTTAAATTAAAAAAAAACCTTTATTGAACTTTATACAATACCTACATTATGACTTTGCTAATTTAAATTCTGCAGCATGGTTGCAGTACTCATTTAAATGACCTGCACAAACGAGAAACTAATTTCACGACTTCGTAATTCCTCGACAGTATTTGCAAATTAATGCGTGTGGACATTACACAATCTTTTTTGATTTATTTGTATAGTATTGCCACGTATTATTAACATATTAATTGTATTAATTTTTTTATATCTTATTTTCAGGGTTGCTAATAAACTAAAACCAGGGCTCAACAAATGAACAGTTTATGTTATCGGTATCAATCGCAGTATCAATCAAACGTTCAGCAAGTACCGAACAATCCGCTTCCAAACATGTCTTCCCAACGTTTCTGTCTTCGATGGAACAATCACCAGTCAAATTTACTCTCAGTATTCGATCAGCTGTTGCACGACGAAAGCTTCGTTGACGTGACGCTGGCTGTTGATGGAAAATTACTCCGCGCTCACAAAATGGTGTTGTCGGCGTGCAGCCCTTACTTCCAAACTTTATTCGTCAATCATCCCGACAAAGATCCAATAGTCATTTTAAAAGATGTACCTTACAACGACATGAAAAGTCTCTTAGACTTCATGTACCGTGGAGAGGTCAGCGTCGATCAAGATCGATTAACGGCGTTTTTAAAAGTCGCCGAAAGTTTGAGGATAAAAGGATTAACGGAAGTTAACGAAGAAAAGTGTGATTCGATAGCTTTAACGCAAAATCAACACCACGGCAACGCTCAATTGCAGAGGTTTATGCCGCAGAAGAGGTTTGCGAACTCGAATATGTTATCGAACGCGTTGATGCAACCTAAACGGAAACGCGGAAGGCCCAGGAAATTATCGGGAAGCTCTAACGGCACTCCCGGCGAAGACTTTGATAGAAGCGATGGGCTGGTGCAGGGAAGTCCGGAATTGCTTGAAGTCAAAATGGGTATGGATGGATTTACGGGAAATCATTCGGATTCTAGTAGTGGGAAGGATAGAGATAATGACTTGGACGAGAATTGTAAAGATGAAGAACCTACGGCTGGGACTTCCAAAGAAACCAGTTTTAGTAATTCAATATCAAAAAGCGAAAATGATTTTTCACCCGCCGGTAAGTTTCTTTTTTCAAAATTTTATGGGATGCAAAAATTATGATTGTACTATTTAAATTTTTTAATTAATAAATATATATATAATGTTTAAATAAGAACGTCCAGGTAGATGTAGGTTGTATTCTTTACATATGTTATTCGCTCGTTTGATATCTTATTCATGTTATCCATCCATATCACTGAAACATGTTGTAGGTGTTTTAAGGTTCCAGCTCTAACACCTTGGATTAATTGAAGTTAGGTAATGTCCATTATTTTTCTTATTCTTTAATGATGCTTCAGCTTAAATCAAGCCTTAGCTTCCTCGGTGCTTCACCTACAACTATCTCGGTCTGCGGCCACTCTCTTTCAGCTTCTCATTCTGAGAATCTCCTAAGCAATCTTGCTTTTGGTCTATCAGCCATGCAGAAAAACTTTCTTTACGACACGTGGACAATATCTGCTCTGTTAGCAACATATAGTATTCTTAGTCTTCTGCTAACAGTATTTTATCTTCTGGAAACACTGTGTTGTCTTCTATGAGAAGGATCTGCACCATTAACAATATTTAATCTTCTGACAGCAGTATTTAGTCTTCTGCCAACAATATTTCGTCTTCTACTAGCGGTGTGTTGTTGCAAGGTGTCTTCGTTTTCAGATATGTCAGGTGACTACGTAAATAAGTCTTTAGTAGGACGTCGATCAAAGAAATTTAAGTCAGAAAAGTTTCAATGTTGGGTTGGGTCTTTAGAGTAAAGAAATTTTTATGGCGGACATTCTTATTTAAACACCTTGGACATTTTTAACTAATAATAATTTATTTATAATTTTATTTCAAATTATCTTAAAGCAATATAAATATAATTATCGATTTATTATTGCTTCTTAAACAGTGTATAAATTAATGGCATTTTTTCCTTCAAACGAATCGTTCGCGCGTAACATTTAAAAAACTTAGAAAATGCGATTAAAATAAATTCTAATCGGTTCGACGTCCGGTTCTAGCTTTACACCGCAAGTTTCGCAATGTTTTCTCTTTAACATAAAAAAAATACTGCGTGAAGGGAAAAGCTATAGTGAAGTGCCTAAAAAAATCGTGGAGAAAAAATTTCTCGTTCAGTTTGGGTGCCAAATTGTCTTTAAGAGGTGAGTTTATTACATTTTAATTTAACAAAAAGAAACAATTTAAGGGAAGAGTTAATTTAATGGAAAATGAGCCGTTCTTTTTATCTTTATAATTTTGAAACCAAATTTTCGTTTCGACCGATTTCTTTCTTATTAATTAATTAAATTAAATCGGGGCTTATTTCCTATAGCTTTTCCCTTTAATTGTTTTCTTTTAAACTTTAATATTTTTTTTTTTTAATTTTTTAGATGAAAAATCATCGAATAATATTCGATGTATTGACTTCAACACATCATTACACGAAGAATATAACATACCATATCAAGATCTTGTGATATCCGATACGGAAATGGAAGAATGCGATGATGAGGATATAGTATGCGAAATGGATGATAAAAGTTTTATCGAAGATAGTATTCAAAGGATAAACTCCGACGGTTACGATTTTGAAGACGATTTGAATTACGACGTGGTCATTGACGACCAAGTATATGATTTTAAAATGAAATCTGAACGGTGTAATCAAAAGATTTATGATCCTGATAAATCGGCGAGGGATTTTTGCGTACGCGAAAAAGATAATTTATTTCGATGTACGGTTTGCGATAGGGTTTATACGCATATTAGCAATTTTTGCCGGCATTATGTAACTTCGCATAAAGTCAATGTGAAAATGTTTTCTTGCCCGATTTGTACGAAGGATTTCACTCGAAAAGATAATATGTTGGCTCATTTGAAAATTATACATAAACAACATACTTAGTGCCTTCAATCTGGCTTAAATTCACCTTGAATTCGCCTTGAATTTGCCTTGAAATGTTCCATATACTTAAATTGTGTGTACATATATAAAAATTTATATCCATTTTTTTTGATACAAAAAATCCAAATATTTTTATAGATTTATAAGAAAAGTTGTTGACTGTGAATGTTGTTATTTTTGTTATATGACTGATTTTATAGTGTTATTAGATTTTTGCATGGAAAAATTTAAATTATAAGAAAAAAAAATTACGATAATGTCAGTACAATAATAAGAAGTTAATTAAGTAAATTTTTTTAAACTGTAAGGCTGAGAGCAACCAATTTTTAATGATAAGTGTTGTTACTATTTTGTATTATTTACATATACCAATGTTAGAATTAGATATAGTTTTTTTCAATTCCTTCTCTTTTTAAATAAAAATTTAAAATAAATTTATAAAAATCCTTTTATAAAAATCTTGCCATTTTTTGTATTTGTTTTAAAACAAATTTTTATGCTGCTTTTGAGGATTATCAATCAGGTAAATTATTTATGTGATTATAACATCAGATTTGCTTTGTTTTTTTTAAATCAATAATGTTAACTTTTTAATTATAGATAGAGGTGATTTAAAAATAGGTGATAATTGAATAGATAATAAGTATATAATGTCTAAATGACAAAGCACTCTTTTGCAACTGTTCAAAACGAATGTAATCTTCTTGGTCATAAATGAAAGCTTGTCTATATGATTAAAAATTTAAAATTCTGTTCAAAATTAGTGCAAAGTTCCAAGAGCTGATAACAGCTTTGTAAAATTATTAAAATCTGTTAAATAGTTATTGGAGTATTGTCTAAATGAACGAATACGTCTTGGAGATCATCTGAAAAGTTCCAGAACAAAAAGTATCAACATATTTTTGAATCACTTAGTATAAAATATAAAGCAAATCTGATTTATATCAAGTTCCATTATAATTTTTGAACATTATTTCATTAAAAATTAAAATTTTGTTTATAAAACCCTTTTCCTAGAATGTATTTATTGCATTGCACATTTTTGTTTTTTTTATGTTACCTTTTATATTATTTTAGAAGAAAAAAAATTTATGAATAAACATATTTTATATCATTATTTTAATTATTTATTTAATTTTTTAATATTTTTTATGCATGTTTTATAACACTTGAATCAACAAGAATTAACCTTTTTTCTTAACATTTTAGATTCACCTGGTCATCCAAAACTTTTGACACCAAAAATAGAAATGGATATAGATGATACGACAATAAGAACGGAAACGATGATTCCAACTCCATCGTTAACGCCAAACTCAACGGATAATATCAACAATAATAATAATCCGACAACCCCATCGACCAGCGGAAGTCAAACTCCGACGGTAATGAGTGCCCCATCGGGAAGACAACCCGTTAAGCGCAGAGCGAGACGTCGGGCGACGTCCCAAAGTCAAGATCCCGCCGAACAACTAACGGAAATGTCAGTCAGAGGGTTAAATCTCTTTAGATACGCTCAAATTAATGAGGGAGTTTATCACTGCACCGAATGCGCAAAAGTTGATGTACAGAAAACGTTTAAGAATAAATATAGTTTTCAACGACACGCTTTCTTGTATCACGAAGGCCATCAGAGGAAGGTATTTCCGTGTCCTGTCTGTCAAAAAGAATTTTCGAGGCCGGATAAAATGAAGAATCATATGAAAACGGTGCACGATTGTTTTATGCCTAAAGATTGCGTATTTCCTTTAAACCTGTATTTACAACAGTAATTGGGTGAGAGGTTTAATTATTATTTTGTTTTAGTACTTGGTGCTAATTCTGGTTAGTAATTGTTGTAAATATGATGATAAAAACGAAAAAGAGAAAGGTTAAGCTGTTGAGGATGAGTACAATTTTTTAATCAAATTGTGATTAACCAGTAACTGGTTAAAGAATTAAAAGAAAAGTTGGTATAACGCGTTGCCTTATTAAGGTGTCTTATTTACTTGAAAAAAAAACTAAGAATTTAACTTTTTTTATTAAACAAAATAAAACTTTATACATTTAGTGTTTATAAATTTTGGTTTGGATGTAGATAGGGGAATTAATTCGAGAGTAAATTTAGCGATAGGAAGCACAAAAACCCGTAGATTTTATTAAAAAGTCGTTTTTTTTAACTCGAATGGTTATTAGAATAAAAAGAAATAATTTTTAATAATAATAAATGTTAATTTTTGTTTGCAATCGAACCGTGATCGTTATATGCAATAGAAAAGGAATTCTTCGAATCCGATGTCGCCCATTTGTGATAAAATCGGTTGGATTCGAGCAGAGCGATACGTTTTTATAAAAAAATAGATTGTAATAGGTGTATTTACAAAAAAATATTAATTTAAAAAATGGAGGATAAGTTATAATCTTTTTTTAAAAAATAATATCGTTGACTGCACAATAAGAAATTATTGCTAAACTATATATAGGGTGTTTTAGTTTTTTTTAAGCAGAAAAAACTTAATAAAAGAGGAAAATTAATAAAAAAGTCGAATTAAAAGAATATATGTTGGTAGATGTTGAGTTTTCAAGATTTAAATTGAATTTGAATTTGATTTAATTTGATACCAAACTCGATATATTTGTAATAAAAAGTTATAACAAAAAAATAATCCGCCATCTTTGATAATAACTCCTTTAAAACAATTAATATCTCGATAAATAAATGACGTAGATATATCGAGTTTGGGCTCTTTTTGAAGGAATTTTAATTCTACACTTATTAAAACTAATTTTGTTCGTATCTGCGCAAAAAAATAAAAATAATATAGAAAAACATCTCGAAAATTATAAATTTCTTCCTAACATATATTTTTTAATTTATTGTGCTGCTATAAAATAATCTAAAACACCTTTATATATATATATATATATATACAAATAGAAAATAGTTTAAATAGTTGTTTTTTCTGTTTTTATTTTTAATTTTTTTGTTGGAAACAAAAAAAAATAGCATGTCGGTGCGCACAAAGTGTAATATATGTAATATTATTTAATTATAGGTGTCGGGTGGTTTAACACTAAACAAAAAAAAATAATAATATGACTTTATTAAAAAAATAGAATTTTTTTTCTCACGGACAAAGTCAACTACTACTGTCTATGCATGCATATTTATTAATTTTACTGTTGTTCTTTTCACTTTTCGCTTTCTCATTTATATATTTCTTTTTCACTTATCGTCTGTGTTTTTATTTTGTGATTTTCGTTTAGCCTTAAATAAATAAATAGCTCGTAAAATGATTTTGCTCGTATTTCGAGGTAAAAGAAACATGGTTAAAAATTATTGTACATAGCTTCTTGTTCAAGTGTACATTTATTTTAGAGAAATTTTATTTTAAACAAAAAGGAAAGCATTACAAAATATTCGTTTTATCCGAGAATACAAATAAATTAGAAAAAAAAAACTTTTCGTACATTGATTGATCACTTTGTGATATATATATTTTGTTTTGTTTCAGTTTTTTTTTGTTTTACGTTTTGTTAAAGGCCGAGGCCAGTTTATCGCAGTTCTTCCAAGTTAGGGCCGAGTTGCGTTCCACCTTAAATATGGTGGGTTAAAATGAAGAGCAGCTTCGGTACCTTAATTTTTAAGGCTTACGATAAGTGCAATTAATTAAGAAATTTATATAAATATTATATATATTGATATACATATACTAACGTTACTAGATTACTTAGAAATACGCACTTTTCTCGATAAATTCTTAGACCTGTTGTAAAGTTTATTTTCTTCATCTTACTTATTATTTAGTCACTATTTTGTATATCTTGTTATTATTATTTTTTTAATTTTAAATCTCAAATATTACCTACGATTATTATTATTAATTATAGAAAAGTAATCAAAAAAAAATATATTTTGTTATTTTGTGTTATTTCTTTTTTTGTTATGTTGTGATTTGTTTCTTGTTTCTTTATTGGCTTGTTATACAAAATTTGGTAAAAATCCGTAATATTTGAGGTTAAATTAAAAATATTTAAAATTCCTTTTTCTCTATTTTTTTTTTGTTTTCGTTTTAATTTCCATTTTATTTGTGGCTTCGTTTCGTAGCGAATACAAAGTGTAAATCAAAATGCTTTCTGTAACTCGCTTTTTTAAATATTAATAAAAAACAATTAGCGTACTAGAAAACTAGTTTATATTTTGATATAATGAAAAAGTATATATATATATAAAAACACTGTTAATAAAGTTATTAAATAAAATGGTGCAGATACTGTATAATATTATTTACATAATTTTTTTTTCTTCTTTCACAAAGTTTATGTCTTAAATAGGAATAAAAAAGCTGTTTTATTGTACTTTTCATTTATTAATAAAAATCTACCTCTAATGCATACAATCTCATTTATTTATTCCATTTATAACAGGCAATCGCTTATCTCAAATGCTATCGATTCAATTAGTATGTAACGATGACTAATTTGAAATTTTCGTTGCTGATTTTATTCCCTAAATCTTAGGGAATACTACATTTAGGGCAAGTTTTAGTTTCAAAGGTCTTCGATAGAGTGTCTTGCAATTTCTGTAAACTGGATATTGCATCACTTCATCATCGTTACTATCAAATACTAATATTTTTTTCAGACTGCTATATACTGATAGAAAAAGAATGGAAGAAACATTATGTTAAGTTCGAAAATGATTGGAGAAGGCTAAAGGTCAGCAGTTGGAAACACCAGCTGCGTGTAGACAAATTGGGAAGGAATTGTTAAAGCGATGAGAACTTAAAGCTGATTAGAAACAACCCAACCTAACCCAACTCAACCAAACCCAACTGGGAGAAAGTGTCCTAATTTCCAAAGTGATGCTTCTTATATACATTATTTTTGTTTCCCTTTACTCCAGCTTTCTTAACCTTCTGCGTTCTAGTTTAATATTAATATTTTTATTAATACGTTTTCTTTTTACAGAAGACCAATCAGATTACCCAGAAAATGATCAAAATCATTCAAATCTTCCCGATGCAATAACAGTAGAAGTAATCCCAGTAAAACATGAATCGGTAATAATTTCAACAGAAGCAGCACGAAATATGTTAATGGAAACATACGAAGACCACGATCATAATTACGATAAATCAATGGAATCATCAACGGGAGTTCATTTCTTAACGGACGACGAAGCCCCACCTTATTCAACAACCGACGGGGAAAAGAAACGAAACGAATTGTTAGAATACCTTCTCAGGGATGACGGAAGTGTCGTTTGCAAACTTTGCGGTGAGATTTTGGCGAGTCGAACTCACTGGTATCGTCACAAGTACAAATTGCACGTAAATAGTTTGGGGAATCCGGCGCCGTTGTTTAAATGTACGCATTGTAACGTTTTCTTTAAAAGTAGGAAGGGTTATACGGGACATGTTAGTGCTCGACATTCGGATAATATGGAACAACAAGAAGAACTTAATATTAGTATTAAAGAGGAGGTTGTTGAGACGGAAACTAAACCTAGTAGGAGGAAAGAAATTAAAGGCGCAGATTGGGAAGAACAAAGGGTTAAAGAAGAGAAATTAGTTGCTGATATTATCGATAGGGTGAGAAGAGAATGTGAAGCTCAAGGTGCTGCTGTTACTAGAAGAGGGTATAGTAGGAGATCAACGGTGATGATGAATTCATAATTTTTAAAATGATAAAAATTAAATATGTAATATACTTACTTAAAAGTTAGTTGTTCCTTAAATCGTTGCCAAATTTACACCAATTATTATTTATAGATTAGTAATCTTCTCTCAATTACTTTTGCTCAAACTATGAAAAAAATTTAATTCTTGTATATAGAAACTAAAATTATATTTATATACATTAAATAATTTTAACGTGCCAAAATATTATTGTATTAATGTTCGATAAAAAAAAAAATAATTGGAAGAGATAATGCGAGGGATCTGTACAATAAGTTATTTTTTAATATTTCGTAGATAACTTTGTAGGATTATAATCTGGGTGCTTGTTGGTGTTTAGACGCTAATTTGAGTTACAATTAATTTTTTTAAACTAAGATAAAAAGATTTCTTTTTGTAACGTTTATTAGCGTCTTGGCACATTAAAAGCACTGTAAATATAAATATGATGAAAACTACATTTTAATAAGTCTGAAATGGTGATTTAAGATAGCAACTAATATATTTTAGTATTGTAGTGACCTAACCTTATGAAATAATCTTCCTGGATATCATGCAGTATTAGTAATAAAGTTAAAAATAATAATTGAAAAGAATTTTCGAAGGTATCGTTGTGATAAAAAATTCTTTGAAGAGAAATAATATTGTTTCTGATTTGATGTGATATTATTTTCCTACAGTGAAATGTAAAAGTTGTTTTGTTTTCAATTAAAAACTCAATTTCAAACTTTAAATGATTTTTAATTATTTTTTGAATTAATTTGATTTGGGATGTAAGGGGAAATAAATAAAACAATCCTTGTAGTATATTTAACATTTCATTATTCTAGTGTATGTACAGGACATTCATTCGAGAATCAACAATCACAGACGAGGTGAACGTTTTCCACCACAGTTCTTTTTCGGCGCGGGGTTTGAGACAATTTCAATTCGATTTACACTTTTATAATCACCCTTGACGTATTCTTAATCAGACTTAAGAAATTGCCTGTCGATGTCATCGTCGCGGAGATCGTTCACCGAGTAGATACAAACGTTCATTTCAAAATTACGGTTACGTCCGCCGTTTTCGACACGTAAATAAAAGGAGGAATGGCGGGATTTGACAATTTTTACAAGTTTCCAAAATTTTTTTCACAATATAAATCGGGAAACATTTCAAACATTTCCTCGATTATTATTAAAATGTTTCGCTTTTTGGTCTGGGTAAATTTAATAATTACCGAGGAAGTGTTAAAAGTTCCGTTTCATTATTTTTTTTTTTGCTATCATCATTTATGACTTTTACGTTTTTCTCGGTTTTTATTACTTTTTCTTTTGAAAAAAATATATTATAAAAAAGATTAATTTTAATCACTTAACGGTTATAAATTTTTTTTATTACAACTTAACTTTTATTTTTGGAGGTTTTAACGTTATTTGTTTAAATTATTTATTGCTTATTAATTAATTATTAATACATATATAATTTCAATTGAAATTTCTTTATAAATTCAGAGAGATATCTGAAGTTTATTTATACAGGTTGATTCTGAATCATTTTTAGTTTTCAGTACACACTTTTTATTACTCAGGTCAACAACATTTTAAATCAAACTGTTTATATTCAAAGTTTTACATTTGAATTCTTAGAAATACCAAATTGTAAAAAAGTATTTGTAGCAGCTTCTTTTATCCTGCATTAGATTAGCGTAGGTGACCTTTACAGCAGGAATATCGAGCTTTTCTTTCTTGGTAGCACCTCTGTTAATGCATTATAGAGGAATTTGTCACAATCATTTCGTACAACCCAACCTATCTCAATCCAAGCCAAGCCAATCCCCACTCCGACTGTCTAAAGTGGTAGTTAGCTTGGCTTCGGTTGAGCTAGGTTGGCTTGGGTTGGGTTGAGTTAAGTTGGCTTGGGTTGGGTTCAGTTAGGTTGGCTTGGGTTCAGTTAGGTTGGCTTGGGTTGGGTTGAAAAGATTCCGACCGACTAAAGAGGGGTAATTTATTGTTTATATATATAATTCAAAATCACCTGTATATGAAACCAAACAATTTAATAAATCTTATTTTTTATCTTAGGCTGTGTTAATTGCTATTATCTCTTTATTAAGATACATTGGCAGTGAATTTTAAAATGGTTCTTCTTTTAATTGCATTGACATTTCATTTTAATAAATTATTTAAACTTTTCAATAAACTATCACCTAAACAAACAACGTTAACCACCTACATTAAAACAAAAACAAATTAGAGTGTCGTCGGATGGAAAACGAAACTGCATATTACACTTTGAGCAATACAAAATTTGTCCGGGAGTTTATTTTTATTTATGACTCAGTTAAGGGACACTCCCATCTCACTTCTCGTCACACCCTCAACTCTTCCATTTGAATGTTCTGTTTACTGTTTAATTGGGTATTTTTCTTCGTCAAGGTCCCCGTGTTAATCAGCTGTATGCTGTGCGACGACAGCAATGGTTGGTTTTCAGGACCGGGATTCGAACTGAGTGTATTCACGTTGGCTTTGGAGATTTTGGGCGGAGGTGGTGGTCGTGGTAATGTCGCGTTGTTCTGCGGTAAATCGGCGAATTCCGGCGGCGGCATCTGATGGTGCGAATGATGATGACCTAGAATTGTGGCTGGATCACTTTTTACACCGATTATGCTACTTTCTAAGTCACCACAAATATTGTTAGGCATCTGGCCGTTTTCGTTTCGTTTCTTGGGTTGTCCGTTCTCGTTCATTCTCGATTTGTCCCTTTGATAATACACACCAGCAAATATCAACACGTTTAGTATTAGTAATGAACACCCGATCGCAATCGTTACGCTTAACGCCGTTGAATACGCTGCAAATCCATCTTCGATTGTGTGCGTTGTCGTGCTTGCACCACCAAGTTCTTCTACACGCTCACTGTTAACGTCTGATGGTGTTGTTGCAAATGCGGAAATGTTTACGAAATTTGGCAAAGATCGAATTTCGGGAGTTTCAGTCGTTGGAAGCCTTCTTGGGTTTAAGTTTGGAAGCTTTGGTGGGGGTGGATCATCATCTATTAATTCGTGATGTGACCTTGGAACGTCATCACCACCCGGTTTATGAAGATCCGGCACTAAGTTTAACCAAAATGAAAGACGATGTGCTCTGTAGTGATTTTTTAATTTTGGTTTAGTATCTGAAATAAAAAAATAAAAAGGATAACGCACAGTAATAAGCCATTTACGAGTAAGTTCTCATGCATCAACTTTCTATGTATCTGACCCAGTTTGCAAACTGAATTGCACTTAGATAACCTTGTTACGACCCGCGGGATACATCTCGAATTCGATTCTGAGAAATGTGAGAGTGTCAAAAAGATACTTCTATTCACGAGTATGTAAATTAAATCGATTCGGTTTTGCTTTTACGTTTTTGTGGATAAATTTTTTTTATTGTAACAGACAGGAAGCGGTTGTAAACTTGAATTTAACGTCGACTCTGTCGGGTGTCAATAGTTGTAAATGTTGAATTGAAAACGTGGCTATCGAGCGTTTCGAGGGATAAAAAGCGATTCGCGAGAGATCCCGTTCGGTGAAGTGAAGGATATCAAGTGTACCAACCTAGATTTAGGTACTTTTTGTGAACAGCTTCGTACGCCGTCCATTCTATGTTCTTGAAACGGTTTTTCTCTTGTCTAATACCATGCGATATGTCTCCTTCTGGTGGTTCATTTGGATTACTACAAAGAAATAAGAAGAAAATAAAAGGTTATTTTTTAAACAATTTCGCTTAATTAAACGGTTAGATAGGTGACAAAGTTAGTAGAAGATAAGTGGATGTAAATGGAGGTAATTAGTTACCCAGTTCTGATGAAGTTACTCCAGTAGATCATCGTCGTTTCAGCTAAAAGCCCCTCTGCTTTGGTGTAGTTTCGGCCAAAGTGCATGAATCCACCTACTAGAGGTGCTCCAAATACATATGGTAACTCTTCACCATGTATGCAACCTTGTCTCTAAAAATTAAAAATGATATCAATTATGTTATATAGGCCAACAACGCAGTTGATAAAGCACAGATCCTAGAAGTGAAAAATTTGTTGGCAATGATTTTCTCTTAATGAAGGATAATTCGAATTGAGCTTAATTAATCAAAATTATATAAAGATAAAGCCGCGGTCGAAAAATCATAACGAAATCAAGATCGAACAAATTAATTGGAAAAATACACTGAGTATAACAAATGGATGAAGATATCGATAAGGCTTAAACACTACATGTTATCGTCGTCAATTTAGGAAAGAGTATGATTCAGCACTTTTCAATTCTTCATCGTGATTTACAAAGATTGATTTTCTCGATTAATTTTAAATAAATGATTGTGTCTTATAAATAAAAATGATTAAAATAAATTTTTTTGTATGAATAATGTTTCCTTACGCGGAGATTTGAGACCGAAAAATTGTTCACAAGATAATCTGAAGCGAACTCAAAAGTGGAATATGTATGAAATTTAAAATTCGCAGATTATCGCGTGAACCGTTGCTGCGCAGAGCGAGTTTCATTTGCGAGTATAATCTGAAAATTTCGGGCTACTCGGCGGGTGTAATATTAATTTTAATGGCGCATTTTTTCGCCTCAACCGAGATTCTCCAACGCGCGTCCCTCCTCAATTTAAACTTTCCATTTACACGCTTCGCCATGGGGATAATTCCGGCGCGCCGGCGAAAAAGGAAACGTTAATTAAAAATTGTTTAAACAACGCCAGAGCTGCTTTCACCGGTCGCCTATTAACTTACTAATTTAGATTTTTCACGTAACCTATTTTACCCCTATTACTTACGAGTTACAGCGCCCTTTTCTAGGTGTTTCCGGCGATGCATTTTTTTGCACCTACAAATACCACGCAGGAGTTGCTTTTTTAAATCTTTTTACTTCGTAATTTCAAAAGAAACGTATAACATTGAATAAAAAAAGTTCTGATATGGTTTTATGGAAGAAATAACAATTCTTACAACTCTTATTTTTCGTTTCATTTAATATCAAACAATATCGATTCCTCATCTAATTCGAATATTGCGTTGTATTACTTTAGTGTACACATAATTTCTGGGAAATGGGCAATAAAGGGAAACGGTGGCAGTTAACGTTTAAGGTAAAACGCAACGGCCACGGTTCTAGGTACCAATAAACGATGCAGAGAGTTCGACGATATGAAAATGGCCCCTATTTCTGCTAATAAACCAGTCGTACGTATAACATCGTCGTCGCAGCTGTTTATTGTTACAAACCATTACGTAGAATTTACTTGCAAATATTACACATAATCTGTGTAAATATCGTTTATTTATTCAAACGGGGAAAGGTTTAAATCTAGGTAGTATTTGAAAATATTCTAATAATTTGTGGAAAAGACTCTTGGTCATTACAATATAGTAAATCGACCATACAAGGCAATTAAAACAAAGTTGTCCTTTTTTTCTTTAACCGAGCTTTCGGAATAATTTTATTCCTTCTTCAGGGCAAAACTAATCAATTAAAACAAAACAAGGCCAAGACTTACAATTAAAGAAAAATTAAAATTGAACAATACTTACAAATGGAAGCATAAAAAGCTAAATACATAACATAAGCCGGATACTCAGTTTAATACTTGAAAGTTACAAAAATTAAGCACAAAATAACGTTAAACTACAATTTAAAATTATAAACGTCTAAATTATAAAGTTCGGCATGAGCCACTTTTTTATTCCAATCATCCTATCAATCAAAAGATTAATACTATTGTCGCCATGCGGGATAAAACAGGGCCGTTAAGTTTTTTTTATTGGCTTATTCGAAAGTTTTTTAAAATTGATTGACCCTATATTTTTTAATTTTTGATTCTAAGGCTTAGTTTAAAAAAAAAAAATAATAAAGTTTGAATCTACAGGGCGCGAACTCCAAAGTACGTCACTCAGATTTGAGCGTACGATTGGAGCGTATAAAATCTAGAAGAAAACAGTAACTAACTACAAAACATAGAACGTCTGACTCTTCTTTCTTCTTACTTAAAACGTTATCTGGAGTCGAGGGTGAGGAATTTTAAACTTTTACATTAATTATTGCAAAAATTAAACAATTTTCGAACGTGAAAACGTTACTAATCCGTCTAATTTACGGCCCTATTAAATTAATTTCCAACCCTGTTTTTTGGGAAAGTAATAAAAAAGGTTGTTTAGCATTTTCATTAATAATTGCTTTCCACCTTTTGGGTGGTATCCTTAACCACAACAGTAGTAAGATTAATAATTAATGTAATTGACATGACAGCGCCACAACATACTGTTAACCCAACTAGGATCACTCAGGCCCACTTTTACCATCCTCCTGATAAACTATCTAGAGGATAGTTGCCATGGTTACGGCGCTTTTAAGCGCTCTCATTGGCTAAGAACTGGATTTATCTATCGGATAAATTTATCAGGAGGTGGTAAAAGTGGGCTTAATATATATGCATTTGCATATATATGGGCATAATATATATAATATAAAAAAATTCCTTATCTACCCGGTTTCACTAAACAACTGAATTCTTTACTCTCCTCTGAAACTCTGAGGTTTTCTAACACCAATTTTTTACCTCTTTCCTGTCTATCAGTCAAGAACTAAAGAACCTGTACCGTTGTTATCCAAGTCAAATGTCATCTATAAGGTCCTATGTAGCAATTGCGATGGTGCATATATAGGAACTACTTCTCAATACTTATCTAGCTGTATCACCTAGTATAGGATGGTTTATATTAATAGGGAAGTTGGATCGGTGAATTTTAGAATGGATACTGAAAATTTAAGTTCTGTATATGCCTTCCTAGTTGCAAATAATTGGTCTTCCAGTAACAACTCCAGAGATAACTCTACTTGTTGTTTTTTTAGTTTTTTATTAACTTTTTAACTTATTTGGCTTTTTTGATATTTTTATAGTTTTAGATATAATTCATTTTATCTACGACTGCTTGGATAAGTCATCATTATCGCACTCATTTGAGGTGATTTGAGTTACGTAATGAAGTTCATTACCGCACTGGTTTCATTATGTAACGCATTTTTAGCCTAATTAGAACAGACTTAATTTATTGAAACGAGCAACAATACAAAAGAAAAAGTGCTATCTACTTACAGAGAAACAATACCATTTATTATAAACATTAATTGTTATGTTTTTACATTTCGAAACACTTATTCCAGATGAGTAAACATGTTGTTGAAACTGACAATTGTCAACAATCATTTCAACATATTTTTATAAATGTCAAATAGACTTTTTTAAAGAAATTGATTTTTTAGTAATTTTTATTAGTCGTAGATAAAATGCTGTGTATCACACGTGGGCTAGAGCATAATTACAGTACTCGTGTGATTACACGACTCGGTCTATGACCTCGTCGTGCAATTCTTCACACTCGTACAGTAATTATGTTTCTAACTTGTAATATAAATAACTATTATTGTTTTTTATTTTTGGATTTGTAATGTTTCATATTTTCAACGCCACCTTTTGTTATTTTTCTGAAATAAAGATCGTTTTTTTCCCTTCCTTGTTCCTTTGGTTCTTACGTGTAAATCTGGTTTTTCAACTTTTAACGTGGCTCGTGCCGAACTTTATAATTTAGACGTTTATAATTTTAAATTGTAGTTTAACGTTATTTTGTGCTTAATTTTTGTAACTTTGATAATGTATTTGTTTACACATTTTTGAGTGTTGAAGTGTTAAACTGAGTATCCAGGCTTACGTTATGTATTTGGATTTTTATGCTTCCATTTGTAAGTATTGTTCAATTTTTATTTATCTTTAATTGTAAGTCTTCGCCTTTGTTTTGTTTTAATTGATTAGTTTTGCCCTGAAGAAGGAATAAAATTATTCCGAAAGCTCGGTTAAAGGAAAAAAGGACAACTTTGTTTTAATTCCCTTGTATAGTCGATTTCCAGGATTTCCACATTTACTATTCTAATAATGTTTGGTGAATGTTTTTGAATGATTTCGTTTCGGTTTAATTAATTATCGTTAAGCAAGACGAATATTCGCTGAAACGTGACTAAAAGCGTCGTTATTCTACCAGCATAAGCCACAAGCCGCCTAATTGGCGGTTCATTTAAACTGCACCACCACCAGACATAAACCGAGCTAATTATAAGTCCGAATTAGCTTAATGAACGTTAGTGCTAAGGTAAGGAGTGCCGAATTAGGCCCTTCATAACCATTTTTACGATTCCCGACGAGGATTCAAGCGCCTTCCGTTTCCCTTTCTAAAAAAGCGCCCACTTTTTTATTGTGATTAAGTCCGTAAGGGGGCTCGTAATGGAATATATTTCCGAAATTAACCGTGAGCGGTTTATGCCATTGTAAAATTTGTTACGTTCCCAACGGAAAGCTGCAGATTACGGCTCTGTGTATAGCACCGATTTTAGTACCGAAGTCGACCCTGCACGGCTCTTTGTACTGCTGGTGCCACCCGTAAAACGGTTTTACATAAATTGTTTATACGGGCCGCGGTGATTTATTATTCTTAGGTGGCCCGTGTTGGGTTTTGGATCTTTGAAATCTCCAGAGATGCACCCTTTGCAATTTCTGTTTTACGACCAACACATTTTTCTTGAAAATGACACTTTTTTTAATCGATACCTATTTTATAGTTCCTATAATGACAAAAATTGCACCTGTGACACTCCCATTTTTCACTTTAACTGCAAATTAGAGAAAAATCTCTCTCTTTCTAAAACAAGCGATTTTGCTATTTTCGAAATATTGAACTAAAGAGGAATTTCAAAAAAATCCCAATACATGTTGGGTTAGGTTATAAAAAAGTTTGAGATTAAAAAGTCTCTAGATTGGACTATAGAGAAGGAGAAAAATAAGATTCTAAAAATAAGTTTCCGTAAAAATCCTATTTCTGTCTAGTTCGTATTGAACTTTTTTATTATCCTTTTTCCCAATTTCCCAACCAAACCATTAGCACTTCCCATTTTCGGATTAGTC